GCTGGGCAGGAACTTGTTGCCATTGCCCCTTACCCATTAGGTCACTGTGTGCAGCCAGGTGGAGAGAGGATAGGGAATCCTCCATCTTGTGTATCCCTTCTGCCTGCTGGGCCTGTCTCAGGGAAGTCAGGGAGTGATTCCAGTAGTCTAGCTCCATCTCTGACTCCCTGATACTCCTCAACCTACTCACCTCTTCCTAGAGTTCTGTCACTAAGCAGAGGAGTCCCTCTACTGGAGCGCACCTCTCACAGGTGTGCTCACTACTGGCATCCTGTGCTGGTATAAGAGTAGGGCACACTCTGTAGGTAGCAGCATGTTCATCTGTCCATCGTCCACACACCCCCCTGAGCTCTGTCTGGGAAGCTGCATCAGTTATAGTGGGTGACAAACTCCAAAAGGCTGTGATCTACTGCTGGGTGGATACCATTGTTCCCTGGTCAAGGTAGCCAAGCTTCAGCGCCCTCCCTGCACCCTCTCACACAAACTGATGCACAAACTGCAACACCACACCCTGACTGACATGCCACACCGTTTGCTTGCCCTGTTCACCACACTCCCTAGGGGCTGCCTTTGTACATGTGTTTGTATGTGTGCATATATGCATATAAAAATTGTTTCCCATTTACATATACAGAGGGATCATTGGACTGACCCAAGTAACATCACTAACCAAGATCATTTACCTGTTAGCTATCTTTCTATTACTATTGAGAAGCCTTTTCTGGCATTTTGCTTCTTATGGTGCTATTTTTCTTTACTTGTTTGGTAAGAATAACATTTTTATTTTTCTTATCAATATCTAATTGTGTTTGGATTAGCAGATCTTTCTGCAAGCTTTTTACTATAAAAAGGAACACTAGTATTTGTATAGCCTTTTAAGACTTGCATTTTAAAATATAAAGAACTCTTAAGTGATATCTATTATCATAAAACGCTACAATAGTTTAGATAGAGATCAGATGATAAATTACAGCAAAATATGCATTCACAATAATATACTACTCACAAAAATATACTACTTAAAAAAATGTTTGGCTCTATCACTGAAAGTCAGTTCTATTTAAGAAAACAAAACAAAAATTTCAAGTAAAATTTGTGTAAAGTAATTAGATTTTCTAAGCTTGCTTTCCTAAATCAGAAGATTAAATTGAAAGAACAGAAAATCATATTAAATAATAGAACTTATTTTTTTCTACCAGCAATACTGAGCCTCAGGACCAATTCACCAATATCTGTGCAAAAAATACAGGACTTCTGGAAACAGGCATGTAGTAACTTTTGACTGTCAGAAATGGAGACAAAATAAAGGAAACTTCAATTTCATAGAATCATAGAATATCCCGAGTTGGAAGGGACCCATAAGGATCATCGAGTCCAAATCCTGGCTCGACAACGGTCTACCCAAAAATTCAGACCATGTGTTTGAGAGCATAGTCCAAACGCTTCTTAAATTCTGACAGGCTTGGTGCAGTGACTACTTCCCTGGGGAGCCTGTTCCAGTGTGCGACCACTCTCAGTGAAGAACCTTTTCCTGATATCCAACCTGAACCTCCCCTGTTGCATAGAATCATAGAATCATAGAATATCCTGAGTTGGAAGGGACCCTTAAGGATCATCAAGTCCAACTCTTGACACCGCACAGGTCTACCCAAGTTCAGACCATGTGACTAAGTGCACAGTCCAATCTCTTCTTAAATTCAGTCAGGCTCGGTGCAGTGACCACTTCCCTGGGGAGCCTGTTCCAGTGTGCAACCACTCTCTCTGTGAAGAACCCCTTCCTGATGTCCAGCCTAAACTTCCCCTGCCTCAGCTTAACCCCGTTCCCGCGGGTCCTGTCGCTGGTGTTAATGGAGAAAAGGTCTCCTGCCTCTCGACACCCCCTTACGAGGAAGTTGTAGACTGCGATGAGGTCTCCCCTTAGCCTCCTCTTCTCCAGGCTGAACAGGCCCAGTGCCCTCAGCCGTTCCTCGTACGTCTTCCCCTCCAGGCCTTTCACCATCTTCGTAGCCCTCCTCTGGACACTCTCCAACAGTTTCATGTCCTTTTTATACTGTGGTGCCCAGAAGTGCACACAGTACTCGAGGTGAGGCCGCACCAGCGCAGAGTAGAGCGGGACAATCACCTCCCTTGACCTACTAGCGATGCCGTGCTTGATGCACCCCAGGACACGGTTGGCCCTCCTGGCTGCCAGGGCACACTGCCGGCTCATATTCAACTTGTTGTCTACCACGACCCCCAGATCCCTCTCTTCTAGGCTGCTCTCCAGCGTCTCATCGCCCAGTCTGTACGTGCAGCCAGGGTTTCCCCGTCCCAGGTGCAGGACCCGGCACTTGCTCTTATTGAACTTCATGCGGTTGGCAATCGCCCAGCTCTCCAACCTATCCAGATCCCTCTGCAAGGCCTTTCCACCCTCATTCGAGTCCACAACTCCTCCAAGTTTGGTGTCATCAGCAAACTTGCTCAAAATGCCTTCTATTCCTACATCCAGATCGTTTATAAAAATATTGAAAAGTACCGGCCCTAAAATGGAGCCTTGAGGGACCCCACTGGTGACCGCCCGCCAGCCTGACGCAGCCCCATTCACCATAACCCTTTGGGCCCTGCCCGTTAGCCAATTGCTCACCCATCGTATGATGTTTTTATTTAGCTGTATGCTGGACATTTTGTCCAGTAGGATCCTATGGGAAACCGTGTCAAAAGCCTTGCTGAAGTCCAAAAAAATCACATCAGCTGGTTTCCCTTGGTCTACCATACGGGTGATCTTATCATAAAAGGAAATCAGGTTAGTTAGGCAGGACCTACCCTTCACAAACCCATGCTTGCTGGGACCAATGACTGCTTTGTCCCCCAGGTGCGCCTCAATATGTTCGAGAACCATCTTCTCCATGATTTTACCAGGCACTGATGTGAGACTGACAGGCCTGTAATTGCTAGGGTCTTCTTTCTGACCCTTCTTGAAAATCGGCACAACATTTGCCAGCTTCCAGTCTACCGGGACCTCTCCAGACTCCCAGGATCGTTGAAAAATAATTGAGAGAGGTTCCGCGATGACGTCCGCCAGCTCCTTCAGCACCCGGGGATGAATCCCATCCGGACCCATGGACTTGTAGGGATCCAGGTGGAGTAGCAAATCCCGCACACGTTCAGGGTCGGTTGGGAGTTTGTCATCCCCACCGTCCCGGTCCTCCAGCTCGGGGCACCCTGGGTCCCGAAGCCCATCATCGGCATTGAAGACAGAGGCAAAGAAGGCGTTAAGCGTCTCTGCTTTGCCTATGTCATCGTCTGTGAGAAGACCTTCCCTGTCAAGGAGCGGCCCTATGTATTCTTTAGTTCTCCTTTTTCCATTCACATATCTAAAAAAACCCTTTTTATTTTCTCTCACAGACACAGCCAGCTTCAACTCTAGGTGTGCTTTAGCCACACGAATTTTCTTCCTACAGACACGAACAGCATCCCTGTATTCTTTCCATGTCACCTGGCCCTCCTTCCAGTAGCGAAACACTCTCTGTTTCCGCCTAATCTCCATAAGAATGTTCCTGGTCAGCCACGACGGCCTCCTGCCCCGCCTGCCTGACTTGCGATATTTAGGAATTGCCTGAGGAATTGCAGCTTGATTCCATTCCCTCGGGTCCTATTGCTCATCACCAGAGAAAATAGATTGGCGCCTGCCCCTCCACTTCCCCTCGCAAGGAAGCTGTAGACCGTGATGAGGTCTCCTCTCAACCTCCTCTTCTCAAGGCTGAACAGGCCAAGTGACCTCAGTCGCTCCTCATATGTCTTCCCCTCTAGGTCCTTCATCATCTTTGTAGCCCTTCTCTGGACACTCTCCAATAGTTTCACGTCCTTTTTGTACTGTGGTGCCCAGAACTGCACACAGTACTCGAGGTGAGGCTGCACCAGCGCAGAGTAGAGCGGAACAATCACTTCCCTCGACCGACTAGCCATGCCGTGCTTGATGCATCCCAGGGTACGGTTGGCCCTCCCGGCTGCCAGGGCACACTGCTGGCTCATATTCATCTTCCTGTCAACCACAACCCCCAGATCCCTCTCTGTGGGGCTACTCTCCAGCATCTTGTTGCCCAGTCTGTATGTATAGTCAGGGTTGCACCTTCCCAGGTGCAGGACCCAGCACTTGCTCTTATTAAACTTCATGTGGTTGGTGATCGCCCAGCTCTCCAATCTGTCCAGATCTCTGCAAGGCCTTTCCACCCTCATCAGAGTCAACAACTCCTCACAGTTTAGTGTCATCAGCAAATTTATTCAAAACACCTCCTAGTCCTACATCCAAATCGTTTATGAAAACACTGAAGAGGACTGGCCCTAAAATGGAGCCTTGGGGGACCCCACTGGTGACTGGCCACCAGCCTGATGTAGCTCTATTTACTATAACCCTTTGAGCCCTGCCTGTCAGCCAATTGTTCACCCATTGTATGATGTTTTTATGTAGCTGTACACTGGACATTTTGTCCAGTATTATCCTATGAGAAACTGTATCGAAAGCTTTACTGAAATCCAAAAAGATTACATCAACTGGCTTCCCCTGATCGACTAGATGGGTGATTTGAAAATATAAACAGTGTTTTAATTTTAGCAGCAAGGAAAGTGGCACTACAAAGTATATGTATAAACATAACAAATGAACATAAGTTCATCTTTAAATCTTAGTTCTACGTTAAGAGAATGTTCCAAATTCTTTAAGAGCACATTTTTTGTACAAGTCCTTTCTGCAAGTACTGAGATATTTAGAGGTATTTTTACATTTCTGAGAAAATATAATGAAGAAATCCACACTAACTTGGAGTTTTTACCCCCTTTCGATCAAAGTGTATAATGTATTCCTGATTTTATTCATTAAAATATTAGTAAGGTATACATTTGCATTATGACATTTTAAACACATTGCAACTACAAAATACTAGTTCCAAAAGTACAAATAAAGTTGATTTAATTGCACCTAGAACAATGAAAGTACCGTAGTATTAATGTTCCTTACTACTTACCATATTATGATGCTGTCATACGTAAAACCTAGGATTTCTTCAGCATGGCCAGTATTACAAAGAAGCTGAAAATTTAAAAAAAAAATAAGAAAATAACAGCATCTATTACTTATAACTCTTTAAAAATGACTATTTAAAACAAGATACTTGGTAATGCTTTCAAAGTAACACAAGGAATTTCATTCATTGAAAGGGGAAGTGTGCGAACTTCAGACTTTCCTGAAAATGTTTGCTGCTGGTATTCCATTCTCATATACACCAGACACACAAGCCTTTGGCCTCTCTTAGTAGAGAAAAGCTTACACAACTGTTTAAGCTGCCTAGTGACTGATTTTTCAAGTCTATTTTCAAAAGCTATACTTCAGATTGCTCTTCTTGCTGCCTTTAGGATCTTGTTGGAAGAAGCACTAGTTGGGCAACCAGTACCTGAGCAGAGATGAAAAAGACTCAAGTCAATGCATGTAAAATATGTGCATTCAAAAAGACAGCTTGTGTAAAAGTTTTGAAGCAAAGGTCCACTAGTGGTCCACTGTCACGTTTTACCACGACAGCTGAGGCACAGAAAAAAATGAGAAGGAATTGCAAATGGTAAGTGACCCATGGCTGACATTCAGCCTGACCTGCCATTGATTCAATGGGATTTGTGTTTTTATTGTACCACAGAAAATCAGTGCAAAGGTTGAATTTACACCCATAAACTGTAGCAACTTCTGAACATTTCAGCCTCATCTGTCAGTTTTGAGCACAAGACTGAAGACTTACAAGTACAGTTTTTAAGTCCAAAACCAATCTCAAAAAGAACAGTCTATTGCATGCAAATGTTTTAATCTCTTAAGAAAAGGAAAATAGAATCTTCTTTAAGAAGAGCTAATGCTGTTCTCTTTTGCAAGAATGCCAAAGAAGTTCCTAGTCGTCTTATTTACTATCCCCACCTAAAATAATAAATACTTTATTATTAGGTCCAAATCCCAGAGAACTTTTTCAAGCACTTCCAAAAACTCAAGTGACTTATACTGACTGCAATAGATTTGCCCTTTTTCCTCTTCTTTTGAAAGAGGTGTGCATTCAATTCTAAGCCAATGCAGAATTAGCAGTTTATCCTCAGTGAGGATAAGCTCAGCAGGTGTACAACTAGTGAATACCACTGTTCTGAAATTATTTAAATATATCAAACACTATACCCATTTATTATTAAACCCATTTTATTAGCATGATGTTTCAAATTCAAACTATATTTAGGTTTATGTTCAACAAGTACAAATTATTCCAAGGATCACGTTACATTTTAAGAAATTATTTTTTAAACTGCGAGAAAAACACACAGTGATAATGCTGAAATCCAAAGTTGTTAGTGAGATAAATTATTTGAGCCCAAATATGGAGTTGATCTAAGTCAATTTAATAATTTCTTTGAAATATTTTGGATTTTCCATTTTTCTTACCAGTGGCTATAAGCAAATATGACTACAAAACATAAGGAAATATTATACAATATTTTCCCATAAATTTCAATTTTAAGTGATAATAAAACTAGGCAATCACATGCATTAACTGATTATGACAACATGTCGAATCCTACTATCAATCTATTTTTACAACATGTTGTTGCACTGCCTAAGGCCACCACTGCTGCTTTAGCATTTCTATTGACATTTTATGAACTGTTAAATTGGCTGGCATAGTGTAAGCAAAACAGTGTGAGAAGACAGTGAGTAAAAACAGCTCAGTGTTCAGTTTCAGACTAACTGTTCATCAATAGCTGCTTAGGCTCATCATTTATACATCTAAACCTCTCCCCATTATTCTACCCCAGATACAAATGAGAAATCCTAATTTAACATACATCAGACCATCTTCAACAGCCTTTTTCCTACTTAAAAAAGAATTCTGACACATGAAAAAATATTTCTGAGAAAGTAAAAGATAAACAATAAAGGTTTACAAAGTAGCTGCAGTTCAGCAATAGCTGACATCATGTGCAAATATTTCAAGCCCAAAGCAGAAAATCAAGTCTAATATTATACTTTTAAAATATGTAACTGACAAACATTTTTGCATTAACTTAGTTGTACATAGATTAGAGATGTATCCTCTAATTAAGAGATGTTAGAAGACTGTTTACCAAGAACTTGGAAGCTTTTCAGAGCAACTTGCCCCCCCTCCAGTCACCAACATATTGAAGGGGTGAAGAGTAGAGAAGAGCTCATTCAGTTTTGTGAGCAATGGTCTGAAACTCTTTCCTGATATTTGTGTGTATATTTACAGGTGGTAAACGACCACCTAAGTAGAAGTGAACTAAAAATTGAACTAAAAATTAACCCTTACAAACACTCATCCATATACTTTATACTGGGAAGAATTTTTAGCACTGCTTGTCATCATTGCTCAAAATTGATGAAAATCAAAACCTTGCTTTTACAAAATAAATTATAAGCAAATGGAACAATAAGGTAAATTCTGTTTAAGAGAGAAAAAGTTTACACAGGAAAGGAAGTAAGTTGACAATGTCTCCTATCCTTATTCAAGTGACATTCATAACTAGATTCATTTAAAAGGTATATTATGCAAAACTCTTACATAAAAACATGCTTATTTTCTCATTTTAGTTTAGCCCTTCCAAGAACATCCAATTTTATTTATTTTCCTTACTGCAATGTTTTTCCACCATTAATTCTTCACTAACTTTGCTAACTCCAACAACACATAAATAGATAAAAACCTCATGTAACTTAAGCAACTTGCTTACTGCACCTATCAGGCGCTCCCACCCCCCCCGCCATGTGTTCAACATGCCAAAGTTATCTCTCTTTTTGTACCTGCTAATGGTTCTGTCCCACTAAGTCCAAAACACTGGCATGAAAATAACTGCACTTAATGCTAATTTTCTAATGGTTTCATGGATCACAGTCTCATAATACATGTATGTCCTTACTGACATGCAGTCTTGTTTAATGTGCAAAGGAAACTATAATTCCAAATGCAGAGATTTTATTCAGAAAGCAGTTGACAAGATGAAACATGGCAAATTACTGGTCCTGATAGAGGACTGTCATTTCAGGTACTCTCATACCTTTCAAAGGGATGAGATTTCTTTTTTTTACTTCCATAAATTAGAACAGGTGCAGCTGCCATGCATACAACAGTAGCCTGTGGATAAAGGTCAGATCCAGAAGTGCCACTACATTTCCCGTATCATCTGGAATACAAGCGCACTTCTGAAGCAAGAATCCCATCATTGCACTTACCACACTTTGTTTTGTTTCAGTGGTCCTGAGATGAAACTAAAGCAGAAGATGTGCGGGTGCAAGACCCTCCGATTAATGGCGTGGGGAAGCAAGTGATCGACTCAATATGAGTGGTAATACAAGCTTGTCGTGGTTCCGCTCGAGTGGGCAGCTGAGCTCCACCACAGCCGCTCTCTCACTCCCCCTCCTCAAAGAGGAATGGGGAGAAAATATGTGAAAGGGGCTCAAGGGTTGAGATAAGGACAAGAAGATCACGCAATAATTAGTGTAACGGGCAAAACAGACTCAGCATAAGAAGATAGTAAGATTTATTGCTCATTACTAACAAGCTAGAGAAGTGAGAAACAAAGGAAAGAAACCAAAAGCACCTTCCCCCCCATCCACCCTCTTCCACCTCCTCCCCCCGAGCGGCGCAGGGGAACGGGGGAATGGGGGTTATGGTCAGTCTACAGCGCTTCTTCTCTGCCGTTCCTTCTCGGTCACTCTCGTCCCCTGTGCTGTGGGGTCCCACCCACGGGATGCAGTCCTTGACGAACTGATCCAGCATGGGCTTCCCACAGGCAGCAGCTCTTCCAGAACTGCTCCAGATATGGGTCCGTACCACGGGGTCCATCCCTCAGGAGAAAACTGCTCCAACGTGGCTCCCCTAAAAGTGCAATTGCTCACCACCCACTGACTGATGCCCAGCCTATCCTCAAGCAGCCAGTCCCCCCACCCCAGTCAGCCCCCCCATATTAATTGTTCAGCATGACGTCAAATGGTATGGAATACCCTTTTGGCCAGTTTGGGTCAGCTGTCCTGGGTCTGTCCCCTCCCAGCTCCTGCTGCTTTAGTTTCATCTCAGGACCACTAAAAATGGGAAACCTCAAGGTGCTTGCCTTATCTGCCTGACCATATAAATGAAAAGTGAGTGAGCCAGCTCACTGAAGCCAAAGGCATTGTCCTGGTTTCAGCTAGGATACAGTTAATTTTCCTCCTAGTGGCTGGTAGGGTGCTATGTTTTGGATGTAGGATGAGAAGAGTGTTGATAACACACTGATGTTTTAATTGTTGCAGAGCAGTGCTTATACTAAGACAAGGACTTTTCAGCTTCTCGCTCTGTCCTGCCAGAGGGCAGACTGGGGGTGCAGCAGGAGCTGTACACATTGTACACATTACATGTACAATTGTACACATTAGTAATAGTGGCATTATCGTTATTATTATTATTATTTTCCTTTCTTTTCTGTCCTAATAAACTGCCTCTATCTCAACCCACAAGCTTTCACTTTAATATTTTTTTTCGATTCTCTCCCCCAAAGTCTGTGCAAAAAGCAGCCTGTATACAAGCGATGGATGAGAGGGATGTGTTGAGGCAGTACTGTCTGCTAGCAGCTGTGCATTTGGGCATTGATGGGGTGGTATCAGACTTCGAAAAAAGAGGTATTATCACTCACATGCATTCCCCTTACAATTCTCCTGTCTGGACAGTGAAAAAGCTGAATGGATGGTGACTTACAATTGAGTATAGGTGACTGAATGCCAACACCACACCTTTTAACTGCTGCTGCGCCAAATATTTCATGATTCTGCTGCAGGAACATGATAAGGCTAAATTTACTTTTCCTTGAAAAGGGATACAGTTTACCTTTAATAGGCTGTCTCAAGGATATCAACACTGCCCTACTGTTGCTCACAATGCCTTGGCAAAGGTTTTAGCAGAAATCCCCAGCCCACCAGGCATTGTAGTATATCAGTACGTCAATGACATAGCAATAGGAGGGAAAAATGCAGAGGGAGTCAGACATGCCATGAAAGCTGCATGAGAAAAAATGATAGCT